TATGTTCTTGATTCCTTTGTTGTAATTTAATTGACCACATATGCGTGTGTTTATTTCTGGTTTCTCTATTTTGGCCCATTGATCTATGTGTCTGTTTTTATGCCAGTACCATACTGTTTTGATGGCTATAGCTTTGTAATACAGTTTGAAATCAGGGAGAGTGATACCTGCAGCTTTATTCTTTTTTCTCAAGATTGCTTTGGCTGTTCAGGGTCTTCTGTGGTTCCAAACAAATTTTAGAATTGTTTGTTCTATTTCTGTGAAAAGTGCCATTGGAATATAATAGATATTGCTTTGAATATGTAGATTGCTTTGAGTATATAGACACTTTAACAATGTCAATTGTTTCAATCCATTAGCACAGAATACCTTTCCATTTATTTGTGTCCTTTTCCATTTCTTTCATCAATGTCTTATCAATGGCTTTTAGTATAGTAACGGAGTGGTGCAATTACTGCCACAGTGAATTCCAGAATACTTTTATCACCCTGAATAGAAACTCAGCACCCCTTAGCTGTCTTCCTCCAGTCTCCCCATCCCTTGTCAGCCACTAACCTACTTTTGTCTCCATACACTTGGCTATTCTGGGCACATAAGTGAAATCATGAAATCTGTGGTCTTTTGTGCCTGGCATCTTTCACTCAGCATAATGTTTCAAAGTTCTTCCATGTTGTAGTGTGTGTCAGTACTTCATATCTTTAAAAAAATATTTTATTTATAAAAAAAGAGAAAGATACAGATTTTAATTATCTATTTTTAGAGACAGGGGAAGGGAGGGAGAAAAACATCCCTGTGTGGTTGCCTCTCACAAGCCCCCCTACTGGGGACCTGGCCCACAACCCAGGCGTGTGCCCTGACTGGGAATCAAACCAGCAACCCTTTGATTTGCAGGCCTGCGCTCAATCCACTGAACTACAGCAGCCAGGGCCCTTCTTGTTTTTTTTTATTGCCACATGACACACCATGGTCTGGATAGACCACATCTAATTTATCCATTCACCAGTTGATGGGCATTTCAGTCGTTTTTATTTTGTGGCTGTTATAAATAATGCTGCTGTGAACATTCCTGCACAATTTGCTTTGTGGACATATGTTCTCATTTTTCTTGGAGAGATACCTAAGCGTGGAATTGCTAGGTCACGTGGTAACTCTGTTTAGCCTGTTGAGGAACTGCCCAGACTGTTTTCCAAAGTGAGGCACCATTTCACCTTCCCATCAACAGTTCCGGTTTCTCCACATCCTCACAAACACTTGCTATTGTATGGGGACTTCAGTTCAAACAGGGTCCCTTTGGCTGCTCTGATGGGACCTGGCTGAGGGAGGCAGAGGTAGAGGCTGGGCACCCTGTGGGGAGCCTGCTGCACTAGTGAGAGAGAGAGAGAGGGAGAGAGAGAGAGAGAGAGAGAGAGAGAGAGAGAGAGAGAGAGAGAGAGAGAGAGAGAGAGAGAGAGCGAGCGAGCATGGTGGCTGGACCAGTGTGGAGGCAGCAGAGGAGGTGAGAAGAAACGGGACTGTGGAGAGTCGGGAGAGAAAGGGGCGCCAGGAAGAACCCACGGAGATGGGTGAGACTGTGGTGGGAGTGGGTGTGACGGGTGGACTGCGGAGCTCCATTTTGGACGCGCTGAGTTTGAGATTCCCACCAGACATCCAGGTGGGAATAGCCAGGAGGTGATTGGTATTTCATCCTAGAATTACTGTTGGTGTTCATGGCACGTTTCTTGAATTATTAAAGCCGGAATTGAATCTTAACCCAGGGTCTCAGTTTTCCCCGTCCAAAAAAATGGGGACAACCATACCAGTGACCACTAGGTTGTCAAGAGACGGGGGTGGGGGTGTGGGGGGATGGCGATTCCTGTGCAGCACAGACCAGGACAGCACACCTCGAGACTACGGCCATGCATAGAGTGGAAAGAGGCCTGAGGCCCGCCGCTCGGGAGAGAAATGGAGGTCACGCTCAGTTCAGGCAGTGCCCGTCTCCCCTACTCCCCCAGTCTTTGGCCTCCATGGGGAGGGGGAGGGGAGTTTGGGTCGTCACCCTGTCTACCCACGCTCCAAGCTGGGTTTCCTTCTCCGGGGCTGCTGGGCCCGAACTGCTGATGAAAACCAGCTGCGGGAGGCTCGGAGGCTGGGCGCACTCCCAGGCCCCTCCCCGGCGCCGGCAGACCCCGTTAAGGGGGGCGGGAAACTAGGGCGCCCCAGCTCCCCTCCCCCCATCCGCAGTGGGCCGGGGCCCTGGCACGTCCGGCGCTCCTGATGCTTTCCAGATGTGAGCCTGATTCCCCTCCCCCACCTGGCCCCGTTGCTCCCGCAGAGTTGGGGAGGAGGGAAGCCAGGGTCTGACACCCCCCTATCAAATAGTTACACTATAGATCTGGCGGGTGTCCCCTTCCCACTGGTCTCCCTTCTCAGACGAGATCATAAAAACCGAACTGGGATGGGCTGACTGCGGTAAAGACGCTCCTTCCCCACCTCCGCCTCTTCTCGGGGCTCGGGCCTGCGCCCCCTCTGCAGCCGTTTAGGGTGGTCCGGCACGCCCCATCCAGACCACTCCCACCTCCCCGCCCCTCAAGGCCACGCCCCTCAGGACACCAAAGCCCCGCCCCCTAGGCCCACCTCTACAGGCTAACGCCACCGTCCCCTGTGTAAGGCGTGGTCTTGAGTGCTGTCTCTCTGCCCGCCTCTGTCTCTGTTTGGGTGTCTGTATTTCTGCCTCCAACTCTACATTTCGGTCTGTGTGTCTCTCCTGTACCTACATGTCTCTGTGCCTCTGTCTCTGCAACCTTCTGCCTACCTCTGTCTCCCCGAGTCCCTCCGTCTCTATCTTTCCAAATTTCTGTCTGTCCCTGTCTCTCTGCCTCTCCTTGAGTCTCTCACTCCCTTTCTAGGTGTCCCAGTCCATCTTCATTTCTCTCTCTCTAGACCCTTCCACCTTCCTACATCTCGTGTTCTCCACTGCCTGCACCCGACCGGCCCACAGGGGCGCCTCGCCCTCCGGATTTACACCACCTCCCACGGCTTTGGTGCCGACTTTGTGGACCACGGACGCCTCCCTGTGGCCTGCAGGGGACTGTCAGGAAGAGACGGAGAGCAGAGTGTGCGCGCCGGCAGGCGTCTCCTGAATGCAGGAGGGACACCGAGTGTCCGTGGGTGATGCGGGGGAGATGGTGGGTGACACCGAGAGACTGTGTGAATGTGTACCACCGTGAGGCTGTAGCCATAGGTTGTGTGTGGCCCTGTGAGCTGGTGAGATGTGTGACAACCAGAGTATGACTGGGAAACTGTGTTACACCTGGGGGTTGTATGGATTCTGCACGGGAGATGAAGAGATATGTGTGCGTGGCTGCGAGTAATACCATGTGGTTGGGTGTGACAGGGTGACACCGAGCTGGTGCGTGTGACAGGGTGTGGGCGCTTGTGTGATGGAATGAGGCTGTGTGGGACACACAGGAGAGGTGGGTGACACACAGGAGAGGTGGGTAACTGTAGTAAATGCAGCAGGGCATGCGGCACACCTGGAGACCCTGTTTCTTCCTACGAGACCGGGTGTGCCGGAGACACTGTTTGGGGGAGTTTGTGAGGTCATGTGTGAGAGTGAGCGGTCGTGACAGTGTGCACGTGTTGAGGACATGAGTGCTGTGTGTGTCACATGGGCAGATGATGTGTGAGAGTGAATGAGTGTGCCCCACCCAGAGATGGCCTGAGAAGGCAGTGTGAGAGGCCCGCGGGGACTGGGTGTTCAGAGAGGCCATGTGAGTGTGAAACAGTAGGTGCCAGCCACACCGATGAACTGTGAGAGTGTGTGTGGCTGTGTGCAGCATAGGTTGTGTGGGAGACCGACAGACTGGCACAGCGTTGTGACAGTGTGTGAGTGAGTGGGCGACTGTGCAGGGCACTCAGAGATTAGAGTACAGGAGACACCTGGTGTGTGTGAGTGTGCAACACTGGGGGATTTCTGTGGGAGGATGGGCGGCAGCTGTGTGTCATACAGACTGAGGCTCAGCAAGAGACTGTACAGGACAGTACAGGGGGCAGACTCTGTGTGACTATGTGTTTGGGAATGTGTAGGATTGTGAGACACTTGGAGGTTGTGCAAGAATGTGTGTGATGTGTGTGGGAGTCACTGGCTGTGACGGTAACTGTCACACTACAAAATATTATATGGCAGTAATTGACAGAGAGGTTGAGTGAGTAAGTACATGTCACTGCAGGAGACACGGGGAAAGTGAGACTGAGAGGGTGTGGGACAGAAGTTTTTATCACATGTGTGTGTGTGACACACTCACATACATCTTGACATATTGTGTGACACCATGTGAAACCGTTTGTACAGTGGACACTCAGAAAGCACACTTGACTGATGTCATGGGCGAGGACATGTCACGCTCGGAGAGATTGTGAGGGATGGGCGGTGTGTGGAGAGACCACGTGATGGTGGCACCGTGGGGGAGTGTGTGTCGGGCACGGACCATGGGCGAGGATGTGTGGCAACACCATGTGACACAGTGGGGAGGTGCTGCGGGTCTCTGGGCGAGGAACTGTGAGTGTGAGGCTGTGTGAGTGCGAGGAGGCGTCTGGGACGGGGTGACACTGAGGTGGTGGGTGTGACAGGGTGGGAGAGCACGTGCAATGGAAAGCAGGCCATGTGGGACACACGGGAGAGAGCTGTGTGATGGGAAGGTGTGCAGCAGGGTGTGGGGCACACCTTGAGAGCCTGTCTTCTCCCCTGAGGGAGGGAGTGAGTGTGAGACAGAGACAGGGATTGAGAGGAAAGACAGAGGGAGGGAGAGACACACAGAAACAGAGTCAAAGATGGGGACAGACAGAGCTAGGATCCAGAGAGACAGACCCAAGGTGGCCCAGAGAGCAGTGGGGTGTGGGTGGCAGTGGCAGCAGGCGGAGGCGGGTCCTCAGGGGCTGCCCTGTGGGAGGGGCGGGGCTGGGCTGGGGCGGGCAGGGGGACCCAGGGCTGTCTCCCAGCCTCCACCAGCAGCCCGCCATCCCAGCCCTGAGCAACAACAGGTAGGAAGCTCCCATCCTGGCCCCGGCAGATGGTCCCTCTGCTCTATCTTGACCAGTCTGGCCACCTGGGAATGAATGAGTGAGTGAGTGAAGGGATGATTTTGTACTTCTGCGTCTCCACCAGCTTGTCTCTCCCCCAGCCCCTCACCCCTCTCTTTCTGTCCCCCTGTCCTCTGTCCCCTTATCCCCGGTGGCCTCTCCCGTCCCCTTCCCCTACCTCTCCATACATCCTACCTTTATCCTCTCCCACTCCCACCCCTCCTGGGCTCCTTGGCCCCCCTTTCTCACCCTCCCTCGGTCTCTTCATCCCCTCTGCACCTCTCTCCCCCCATCACTCTGTCCCTTTCTCCACCCTTCCACTCACCCCCCACTCCCTCCATCGCTTCATCCTTCCCCCGTCTCTCCATCGCTTTCTTCCCTCCCTCAGTCTCTTCTTTTCTCCTGTGCCCCAGTCACCTCCTCTCCCTCTGCCCCTCCATTCGTCCCTCTCTTCCTCCTCTCTGCCCCTCTCCCAGTCCTGTCTGGGTGCCCCCCCACCCCGCCAGCCCTCTCTCCAGCTGCTAATGAGCAGAAGAGACTTTGAGGTGCAGGGCTGGGGTGGGGGAGCTCCCTGAGGGGAGCGGAGGGGGCAGCTGCTGCCAAGGCCCTAATGAGGCCCCCTCTGTGCCCCTCCCGCGGAGATCTTAATTCCTTGGTCTCCCTGGAGCGGCCGCTAATTGGCCTGGGAAGGGCCCCCCTCCTGGCTCATGCTCCCTCCCTGGGGGCTGAGGACACCTGGGTCCTGCTCCAGCACCTGTGGCCCTGTCCTTCCGTCTCTCTCTCCACCTGCCTCTCAGCCCCACCTCCGTGCTTCCTCCTGCTTTCCTCGCCCCTCTCTGGCTCCAGGTACCCCATCTGTGTACCCCTCCGCCTCCCCTCTTGCCTCTCTCCGCCCTGCTCTTTGGTCCCTCCTTGGACCTGCCTCTCGGTCTCCAGTCTGTGCGGCTCTTCATCCCTCCGCTTTTCCCTCTCTTTTCCTGTACCCCCTCCACCTGTGCCCGGCTACCCCATTCGTGCGCTCTTCCACCCGCGCCCCCGCTGCCGGGTCCCACCACCACAGACACCTTAGCCAGGGACCCAGACCCAGACTTGCCCTAGCCTACCCCCTCCGCCTCCACTCCCGCCGGGCTTTCAACCCCTTCCCCGCCGCAGCCATGTCCAACAACATGGCCAAGATCGCGGAGGCCCGCAAGACGGTGGAACAGCTGAAGCTGGAAGTGAACATCGACCGCATGAAGGTGCTGGTTGGGGTAGGAGGAAGGTGGGGGCTCGGGGGTAGGGTCTGGACCCGGCGCTGTTAAGGGTACAGAGCCGTGGGGGGTAGGATTCCCTTCCAAACTGAGCTGGACCTGGCCTGGGTCCTGAGAGGGGTGGAGCCTGAGGGGGCGGGGCAGGGCCAGGGGAGGGGCATGGGCATGGGGCGGGGCCCTGGCCGGGGCAGGGCGTGTACTTCACCCTTGTGCCCGCAGGTGTCGCAGGCCGCAGCAGAGCTCCTGGCATTCTGCGAGACGCACGCCAAAGATGACCCTCTGGTGACACCGGTACCCGCCGCAGAGAACCCCTTCCGCGACAAGCGCCTCTTTTGTGTCCTGCTCTGAGCCTTCCCTACAGCTTACCCTCCCTTGCCGAAATATGAGTCCAATAAACGTGGTGACTGGTGGCACCTGTGCTTTTGGGGACAACTGAGGCATGTGCAGGGCTTGGGGCCACCCGCGTCCCTTCGCACATCTTCTGAGTATGTGTGGAGTATGGGGGTGGGGTGAGAATATGCGGTGCGTGTGGATACGGAGGGTGTGTGGGAAGAAATGATCCTTTCAGCGCTCCATGATCCTGAATTTAATTAATCGTCCCAACAGTCCCAGAGGCAGCTGGCTGCTTGTAGAATAGCTTTTTTACAGATGAGGAAATGGAGCCAAAGGGGTCCCTTACTCAAAGTCACATGGAGAGGAGGTGATGGGGTGAAGACTGTGGAGCCCAGTGCTCCCTGAACCCCTCGGCTGGCCTCTGCCCTCTCCTGCCTCCTGTGCCCGTCCCACCTCTCTCATCCTGAATGATTTCACCCCTTTTTTCACATTTGCCTACCCCCTGCCACAGGCCTCCCTCTGTCCCAAAGCACTGAACTCTGTGCATTCATTCATTCATTCATTCTTCCAAATGCTCTCTTAGTTCCTGCCCTGTGACTGACCCTGTGCTGGGTGAAGCTGGGGACAGAGCCTGGCACTGCCCTCCTGGGGCTCAGAATCCAGTGGGAGAGACAAACCATCCCCCAAAGGTGACAACCCAAAATGGGCAGGCTTGGGGTGGAAGAGCTCATAGGGAACATGAACACCTGCCTCAGTTTGGGGGTCAGGGAGGGCTCCCTGGAGGAGGAGGAGATATCTGAGTTGGTACACGATGGTAATAAAACATGGGACTCACACCCTGGCTGGTGTGACTCAGTGGATTGAGTGCAGGCCTGCAAACCAAAGAGTTGCCTATTTGATTCCCAGTCAGGGCATGTGCCTGAGTAGCAAGCCAGGTCCCTGTAGGGGGTGCACAAGAGGTGACCACACATTGATGTTTCTCTCCCTCTCTTTCTCCCTCCCTTTCCCTCTCTAAAAACAAATAAAGAAAATCCTTAAAAAGCAAAAAACCAAACTTGGGGCCCAGAGAAGAGAGAAGTGTGGACAGAGGGAGAGGAGACAAATTAAATTGCACATTCCTTCCTTCAACAATTTCTTTGTTCTAAGGGCACAGGGGTGACTGTACCTACTCTGGTTTCTGCCCTGTGTGTCCCACATCACACACTGATGGCCTGCAGGACATATAGAGCCTGCAGGTGTATTTTTGGCTATCTATTCTGGCCTATGTAATGTTCTTGTCAAATTAATAGAGTACTTTACACAAAAGTCCACATTTCCAGCTCCTTCCGAACTGGAAGGTCTGGTGACCTCAGACCTACATGACCCCCAGGGTGACCATAGGCTATGAGACGGGACATGGGCTTCCCAGCTCGCTGAAGTCCCCACCCGCCCTGTTGTCTCTCAGTTGAGGAGGTGGAGGTCCGGTTGCCATTTACTTTGGAGCCTGTGTCAGGGGCTTCTTACGGTGGAATGAAAAGAAAGGTGACCTGTGGGTTTGGTTAATTATTTTACCTGGTTGGCCCAAGGGCCATGGAGTTCAAGACCCCCTCTCCACTCCTTCACCCCTGCCTCCTCTTCTCTAAGGCTCAACGCCCCGCTCCTCCCTCAGAGTGAGGCTGGATCTGGATGGAGGCAGACGACAGCTCACTGTGCCTCTGCCCCCCCAGAGCCGGCCCTGCGTGTGCCTGGCAAGTGGTCCATTAGTCACATTGGATTAGGGTCCCCTGGGCCCCAACTCTGAGCTTCCTGTTGAATTGAGGCAGGAGAGGCTGTAATTACATCTCCCTCCTGCCTCCCACCTCTCAGCTGATTGCATCATAGCTGCGGGAACCCCCCAGGGGATGAAAAGATAAAGTCAGAGCCATTTGCGGGCCTGTGACCTTGTTAAACACGACTGCCGGTTTCGCTCTTCCGAGCTTCTGTTCCCAGGACTGGAAATGACTGGAAAGCAAGACCGGAACATGACTAAGGGCGTCCTACAGCCACAGGCAGGAGATGACATCTGAACAAACTGCACCCCCAACAGCCCAGGGGCCACACAACTGCACCCCCACTCTTTTTAGATCCAATTACAATCCAATAAAAGCTCAAAGCCCCCACCCCTCAGGGCTGGTGCACCTCCGCACACCATGCCCCTTTCCTTTCTTGGAGAGTGAATAAAAACTATGCTCTCTGCACTGTCTTCTCTTTGTGAATTCTTCCACAGCCTGCATCAGCGAGCACCCTAACATTTCGGTGGCCCTTACAGGGACATTCTCTGTTTCTCCCTCTCCTCCCGCCTCCTGACTTGTGATTAGGGGAGCAGTGGGCGGCGGAAGTGCGACCCCTAACCCTGTCTATGTGAGTTTTGGGGAGAGGATTCCAATCTTTCTCTCTCTGGGGACTCTGTGAACAGCGCGGCCCCGCCCCCCCCTCCGCCCCCCTAGCCAGAGATCAGTAAGTCTCTCTGAATCTCGGGACAAAAACATCTTATAGAAACTGATAGCTTATACCCACCACGTCTCATTGTCGTAAAGCCCGGGGCTGGGTCTATCTCCTTCTCAGGGTTCTGGCTGGAAAGGATGCCCCCAGCCGTCTCCCTGCTGGCTCGCTCTGTTCTCCGGACCCAGGGAGCCTGGCTCTGAGGCAGATCCTCAAGTTCCGTGTGCCTTCAGGCTCGAGGCCGCTCAGCTCTGGCCACAGACCTCTAAGTCATTTGAGGTGGGGATGCCCTTCTCAAACCTTCCCCGCCCTCGTTCGTTCTGTCCCTGAGATCTCCTTCCCTTTTAGAATGGGCAGTTCTCAATCGGCCCCGCCCAAGGACTTCCCATTGGGATGGAACTTGAAAGCTCTGGGACTTACCGGCCTCAAGTCCAAGTGCTGGATTCTTTATTGCAACACGGCCTGGCCTCGATACAAACTGAGTGACCAGGAAGTCTGGCCCGGGAACGGATCTCTTAACTAAAATACTATCCTCCAACTTGACCTTCACCGTCGCCATCTTGATCGCCTCCTTAGGTTTAGTCTTCGAGGGGAGGAGACAAGATTTTAATCTTCAGCAGGGATTCCAGGCCTCTTCCTTCTAACTGTGCCTCTTCCCTCAAATTGGCCTCACACTACCACCCCGCCCCGCCCCCACCCGTGTCTGTGTTGCTACAGAGCAACTGCTGTATTTGTTTTCAGCTGAGCAGCTCTCTAACCCTGTAAGGCCATGCTCTTTTCACCCACATGACCCAGCAGGGGGTGACGCTATTCCTGACCCCCCTGACCCCCAAGTCCTGCGTTCAACTCCGGTTCAGAATTAGGCTTGGCCGGCTGTGCCCAAGGTGAGCACAAACCGGGGCACAAGGAGGGAGGAAAATCTTGCCCCGCACCCCCCCCCCGGGGGCCCCCCAGACTGTAAAACTCTATAGTCTCCTCCCGGAGACCTGGGAGCTGCCAGATCCCGGGAACAATTGGGCCTGTCCCTCAATGCAGAGGAAAAAAGTGACATTTTCAACTTGAGCTGCTTTACTGTCCCTCTGCCTGATGAAACCAAAGCCCTTCTAGGAGAAGCTTGGTCCCCCCCCACCCCCACTCCTACATTTTTGAAATGTAAATACTTGATGTTCTTTAAGAACTCTCATCTGGGCCATCTTTTAAAATACAAATTTTGGGCCCCGGCTGGTGTGGCTGAGTGGATTGAGTGCTGGCCTGGGAACCAATGGTTTAATTCCCAGTCAAGGCACATGCCTGGGTTGCAGGCAGGGTCCCCAGTAGGGGGCGTGCAAGAGGCAACCACATATTGATGTTTCTCACCCTCTCTCCTTCCCTTCCCTTCTCTCTAAAAATAAATAAATAATATATTTTAAAAATATGAAAATAAAGATTTATATACTTATTTCATAGTAATTATCAAGAAATTGTTATCTTGAAATATATTTTACAGAGAAGCAAAGTTCTTTATCAATTGCATTTTAATTGAATCTATAACCGTGTCACTTTGAATTTGGACATAAGCAGTCACTGTTCAACTCCAATATATTTGCAAATGTATTTTTGGATAGATTCATGAAAAAGACTCTGCCTTAAATTACAGGTATCTTAAGTAGGTCACATCTTTAAAGCAAATGAAGATTTATAGAACCCTAAGGAATAACTGAATTCGTGGAAATACTGGCAAATAATCAAGACAAACAGAATTGATTATATGGGACTGAATGAACTACAGATAATTGTTATTCTTATGACTTTGTTCAGTTTATTGCTAGTTTTAAACCTTTTTGTTGTCTAGATATAAGAACACACGTTTTCCTCTTAGAACAAGTTGTAAATTGTACCCTCACGAGCAACATCAAAACATTTATTTTTCTCCCCCCCGACCCCCCAGAATTCGGCAATTCTTAAGGAGTGAGTGTGAGTTTCATGGCAATCTGTTTGCATAAACCCAGTTAAGAATCTGTTCTCTTTATAACAGCAACAGTTTCCAAGTGTGGTTCTATTGACCAAGTCTTTGTTGGGAATGTCACGATCAAAAGAGTCAAACCTGGATGCTGGACGTCACCAGAAAGCTTTAAGGAATGAAAACTGACTTTCACAGCCAGAGAGTGAGAGCCCCTTGGAGAATCGCCTGGCGCCTTGCTCAGCCACGCAGTTCATGGCGGGTGTTCTGTGGCAGGTGTGAACTATGCACTATGAGCGAAGGTTGCTTCCCTGGAAGATGGCAAGGAAGGAACCCGAAGACATTTCTGGGACATCAAGAACTTGAGGAATCCACCCAAACCTATTGCAGGCGAGTGAAACTATATGGAAACCAGAAAAGCTTCCAGACCAAATCAGCAGAAACAGGGACTGAATCTGTATGGGTGCTTTATTCAGATGGCCGGGGATCTGAGAAGATGGTGGGTTCACACCCTAATGGACTGTCTTAAAGTCTATTTCAAAGTGGCCCTTTTTATAAGGAAGACAAAGGGTAGGTAAGGGGTTTGGAATTCAGGGAAAAATTAATTGGATTAAAAACCCTGCAGCATTCTCACCCTGGGTCATCTCACCCTGGAGCACAGTGGCTCAG